TCATTGCATCCATAGCATCTTCTTGTTGGGACTTGGGCTTTCTTTCTTGCCTCTTTGTGCAATGGACACTTCTCGGTTGGATGCCCCAATTTCTTGCATGAGACAAGCACTTGGCTCATCGTTCTTCACTTGCTTGGCCAATTTGGTGGAAGCCTCTTGTTTGTCGGCCTCACACTTGTCGGCCCAACTCTTGTGTGAACACATGGCAATCTCATGTCCATACAATCCACAACCATAGCATAGCCTTTTTCCATGTTTCTTGCTCTTAGTTGTTTTGGCCTTGCTTGAAGTGTGATTCTTTTGTTGGGATTTGGAGGGAGCAAGGTTTGAATCCTTCTCAAGCTTCTTCACCATGTTATCATGATTATCTTGAGAAGGTTGTGCTTCCTCCTTTCCCTTCAATCGAATCATGTCTTTCCTTAATCTTTCAACTTCTTCCTTGAGCTCTATGTTTTCTATAAGATTTTGCTCAATCGAAGATTGGCTTGCTTGAGGAGCACACTCATTAGTACAAGAACTATTGAATTGAGATTGTGTACATGTGAGTGTGTGTGGGAGAGGTTGAGATGATTTCACCGATGTGATTACAACCTCATGAGCCACCTCAAGCATAATGCTTGATTCTACTTACTCCTAATGAGAGCATTGTAGATGAACATAGTTTGCTTGTAGCACATTATACTTGCTTGATAGTTCATCTAGCCTTGCCTTGAGCTCAAAGCTTTCCTTCTCTAGTTGTGAAACACTAGAAGAGGAGTTAGTAACTAAAGCATGCTCAATTGATAATTTTTCATACCTCTCATTGATTTCCTTTAGTTCTTCTAACTTGGAGATGAGAAACATTTCTTGCCGTTGAAGTGATTGCTCTTGCTTCTCATTCTCTTCCTCTAGCTCATCATTCTTCTCAACTAGCTTCATGAGGATGAGATTGTATTTGCTACTTAGATGATCAAAAGTGTAACTATCTTCAATTTCAATATCACTCTCCTCTTGATCATCTATTTGCGCTATCTCCTTGGCTTGTTCTTTCTTGTTAGCCTTCTTCTTACTTTTTTTGGCCATGAGACATAAGTGATGAGAATCATGAGATACTGAGGTTGACTCATCTCACACTTAGGAAACATGTTAGACCTTTAATCGTGTTGTCATTCAATCATCCAAAACCCACTAAGGGGCTAGATGCACTTTCAGAACATAGTCATCTTTGATCTTCACTAAGATGTCTTTTGCTATTCCATCCAGAAACCGAATTGTATGGTCCACCATCTGTAATTGAATATATGTAGGAAACAAAGGCCCTTCTAACAAGTTATCATATGTTCCCTTGGACATGATGTTGACACCTGATCCAAGGTAGCAGAAGGCGTTGTAGAACACTTGCGGTCTAATAGAACATTTGATCGTAGGTAATCCTGGATCTCCTTTCTTGGTGATGAATGGTGAAGCGAGGTATTGGTCGTAGTTGGATCGAAGTGTGTTAATTATGTTAACAAACTCAAGCCTTCCTTGTTCAAATTTTTGTTTCTGTGTCCCTTGCAACTCATTCTTCTCCTTCTTGCTTTTGGTTCGCCTAGTTGGGGGTTGTTCCTGTAACATCTTAGTGGAATGCCACTTGCTATTTTTAAAAGAGAACTTCTCCATTCTATCATTCATTTAGAAACAGATCCTAGCGCTTTCGGCTTGGATGATTGCTTTAGTTGTGTGTTGGAAAGGACGTCCCAGGATGATGGGTGCCTTCAAATCACAGCCGGTATCCAAGACTACAAAGTCCACGGATACATACGAGCTTCCAACTTGTATACAAATATATTCTGCGATTCCTTCTACTCGGCGAGTAGATTGGTCTACAAGTTGCATATGCATGGTTGTGTACAATAAAGTATCAAATTGTAAAATGTGATCGTATATTACCTTTGGCATAACATTGAAGCTTGCACCAAGGTTGCAGATGACTTGATTGAACTCATGAGGTCCAATCTTGATAGGAATGACAGGGCGTCCAAAATCACCTTTCTTTTTGGGCATGGAATCATCCCGCCAATTTCCATGGCTAGGTTAAAAGTGTAGAACTTTGAATTTGCTATTTTAATTATGTTCACAGCTTTGGGTTCTTGAGTTGCCTTGGAATTTTAACTTTTTGGTTGATGGGATACTTGAGATGCCAACCTGAGCTATTTGTGATTCTAACATTTTATTAAAGCTAATTTGGTTCTTTATATGCGAGATGAGAAATTATCCATTTTATTATTTATGTTTTCTAAGATCTTATCATTAGCAGCAAGCTTTTTAGATATGTTTTCATTGATTTTAGCTTGTCCTAAAACTAGGTCTTTCAAGGATGATTGATTATAAGGATTATTAAAATTATTAATTTGGTAGTTACCTTGGTAATTACCTTAATAGTTGAGTCATGGTTGTTGATCCCATCCTTGTCCTTGTTGTTGTTGAGGACGATAATTGTTGGAGTTGTTGTTGATGAAGTTCACATTTTCTTGTGTTTAGGTGCAGTTGTTGCCCAAATGTCCAGTTCTTACATAGACTTCACATGTCATGTGTGAGTCATGGACTTGCATAACACCTTGTTTCTCATTGGATTGATCTTCAAGTCTTTTCATGAGCAAGTCCATCTTAGCAGACAACATGTCTACTTCTTTGACCGTATGCATACCTCCACCTCTCTTGCGGGGTTGGAGACGTTCTTCCGACCTGCCTTGGTTGGAAACCATCTTCTCTATGAGAGCTATTGCATTGGTGATTGTAAGTGATAAGAATGCTCCTCCAGCAGTAGCATCCATATTTTCACGGGTGCTATTGGTCAGCCCGTGGTAGAAGGTTTGCATAAGCAACCAATCCTTCATTCCATGATGAGGACATTCTGAAATATATTCTTGAAAACGTTCCCATGCCTCGGGAATAGCTTCATCACTTTGCTGTTGAAAACTTGAAATTCTTCCACGCAAAGCATTGGTTTTACCCACTAGAAAGAATTTTGATAGGAATACGTTGGAGCACTTTGCCCAAGTGTTGATGTTTTCTTTGTTGGCGTAGAACCATTGCTTCACCTTCCCCAAGAGTGAGAATGGGAAGAGACGAAGTAACACGACATCTTGAGTGACTCCTTTGATAGTAAATGTGCTACAAATCTCCAGAAAATGTTGAAGATGAGCACTTGCATCTTCGTGTGTCTTTCCACAGAATGGGCTAGCTTGCACCATGTTGATGAGAGCTGGCTTGAGTTCAAATGAGGCGTCTCTAGTGTTGACCGTTGGTCCAGTGCAAATGTTCGCAGTGCTTGGAGCAGAGAATTCACAAAGTGTCTTGTCAGCCATAGCTCCTGAAACTGGTGTTGAGCTACCTCTTGATTGGTTTGATTGAGAAGTTGATGCTTCCTCGGTCCTTCTTTTCTTGCTTTTCCTAATGAGAGATTCTGTATTTTCAATGAAATTTGTCAAAAGGTTGAAACCGGTCATGCAATACCATGTATAAGATATAAACAAAATAAAGACAAGGGTAAGCCTACTAGAGCAATGGTGAATAGTTTTGATTTAATCAATAAGTATAGTCTGATCAATTCTTTAATTGCCTTGTGCCCTCCTCAACAACGGCGCCAGAAATGCTTGTTGGCGTTTGTGAGTGCAAATATAATATTAAGGATTCTGCAAGCGCACAGATTACCATTGTAGTATTTCACCGGGAGTTTTTCAGGTATCGTTATTTATATTTTACTACAGAGAGGAATGATGGCATTTAAAGAGATTGATAAACTTATACTTGGGATGAATCAAGTAACCATCCACTTACTCTAAACAGGGGTAAACCAAAAGATAGATAGATATATGATAAATATAACATTCAGGGAGAGACTCCAAAAGATAGCAATAGCTAGTCTATGTTAGTTAAAAGTGAGTTAAATTCATAAGTTATTCTTAATTACAAGTCATAGCATACCATCATTTTAAATACTTAGCAATAACAAAAGATTATCTCTACTTTCACGCATAAGGGACATCTCTATAAAGAGGAACATAGCTAAATATACTTCCTCCGTTGTGACCAGGTCCTACTAGTCCTACATACGTGAGATGGATTACAAAGGATCAATGAGACTGTCACCCCCGCGATCAACCTTACGTTCCGGCATGTAGGGTGCATCCACAGGCAAAACATTGTATAAGCACCACACTTACACAAGGTTCGGCTACTCAACCAATTCGAACACTTAATTGAGCGACCATCAACAATGACTGGCCATACCCCTAGTTGCGGCGAGCCTCCATGGCTAGGCAAGCCCCCATGGTTGCGCAAGCCCCTAGCCATGCCAACCTTAGCTATGTGGCCCTAGCCCCCTGTGGTGCCTCCCAAGACACACCACCCCGGAGCCATGAATTTGCGATAGAGAAAAGAGGGGAGATATAGAAGAGATCGAGGGAGCTTAGGGTGGAGAGATAAAGAGGAAGGAGGTGGGAAAAATGGAGCTAACATAGGGGGCTTTTATGTCATCATGCCACATCTGCACATGAGCAAGAGTCTAGACCCATTTTAGATTGGCTGTGAGACCCGAATATAGGTTAAGGATCTAAATAGGTGATTTATAAGTTTAGGGACTAAGATGACACAATTGAACAATGTTTAAAGATCTAAATGGCTGACTTGTAAGTTTAGAGACCGAGATAATATATAGCCGAACAAGTTTAAGGAACTCAAGGAACGATTAGCGAGTGTAGAAACTGGAATTACATAGCTAAATAAGTTTCAGAACTAGAAAATGACCAAGGATCGGAGATGCTTTTCAAGAATTTAGAAGTAGCTTACATTTATGGTTAAATTTGCAAACAAAACTTTTCCACATAAAGTACATGTTTCACGTACAAACTTGCACTGCTCGTATATATACAGTCAACATCGATCCGTTTCTGATGCAGATCGTGGACGACGATATGAGAACGAAGTGAAGACATGCAAGAGCTAGCAAATACTGGATCGATCGATCGTTGTTTCAGCTAGCGGAGGATGGTCTGGAGCAGTATCTGGTTAAACGTGTCCACCGGCCCGGGCATGCACCAGTGCAAGCAGTCGTGCTGCACCGGCCGGCCGCCCGTGTTGCCGGCGGCGAACGGGTTCTTGCGCATGTACGGGCCCGGGTGGCCGTCCGGCCGCAGGTTGGCCAGCGCCGTCACGTCTACCGCCGCGAACCGCATGGTGGACGAGGACGAGCACGACGACGACGCTTCCTCCACCGCCTCCACGACGATCTTCCTCATCTCCGTCTCGTTGTACCCCAGCTCCGTGTCGGCATTCTTCTTGCACGGGGCGCCCTCGTTCCACTGCCCCTCGAAGTGCGACGGCGAGAACGTGGTCATCGCCACCAGCTTCACGCCGGCGCCGCTGTGCTGCTGCTCGTGATGCCAGCGGGTGGCCTCGGCGAGCGTCCGTCTGACGGCGTCCCTGAACACGGAGAAGAAGCTGATCTCGGCGACAGCGGTGTGGTTGAACTCCGCCGCGTCGCAGCCGTGGCAGCCGACGACCCTGCCGCCCTCGTGGTAGACGCTGGGGATCCGGAACCAGTGGCCCGCGGACAGCACGGCGGCGTCGATGGCGCCGAGCTGCGACATCCAGCGCTCGTCGAACGCGTCCAGGAACACCTGGTTGTAGCGCACGCCGTCGCGCTCCGACTTCTCGACGCCCTTGAGCAGGAACGGCGACCAGAAGATGGAGACGGTGGCGTTGTGGTCGCGGAACAGCCAGCGCCGGAACCTGCCGTCGGCGCTGCGGTGCACGAGCTCCGGCGGGGATGCTGACGAGAGCAAGCACACGAGCGACTCCGCCTGGTTGCGCGCCAGCGAGTCGCCGACGAAGGCCATGTGGCGGTTGCGGAGCCAGCGCAGGAAGGCGGCCGCGGAGAAGGCCGGGAGGTCGCACGCCCGCGGCTGCCACCGCCAGTAGACGTACCCCGTGTCCGCACGCCCGTTCGCCGTGCAGCTCCGGCCGTCGTCCTTGATGGCGCCGCAGGTCGTGCCGTTGTAGAGCGGCGTCCGGGCGTCCGGCACCCACTCGCCGTCCGAGTAGTCGCACGGCGGCGGCGGTGCAGCAGTCGTCGTACTGACGATCAGCAATGTTTCATCGTTGTTGTCTGCTGCGGCTTGTCCTTGGTAAGGAGGTGGAGATATCGTCGATAGCGGCGGCGGCGCCGGTGGCAGCTGCTGTATCCACGGCGGCCTCGCCGCCAGCGATGATGGCTTGGTGGTAGTAGATGATGCCGCAGCAGGCGGAGTTGCTGTGTCGACGAAGAGGTAGAGGAGCGCGACGGCGATGAGCGCGTAGACGGCGTAGGTGACGAACTTCTTCTTGGGAAGCGAGAGCTGATGCTGCTTGTCGTTGTGGTGGAGATGATGCTGGTACGTCTTGAGGACGTTGGTGACCATCATGGTTGCTAGTTGTTCGGATGTGGTGCTGCTGCCTGTTGTTGTTCAGGCCTTCAGGGCTTCTTCAGGCAGAGAGAGGGTAAGGAAAGTAGGAAAACCATGCATGGGCAATTGCATGCGCAGTGCGCGGGGACCAAGAAGAAGAAGAGGAGGGGAAGAGGCCGGTTGGTCGGACAAGATTTTATGCTGACGTGCTGGTTTGCATTGGGTGCAACCGTGTGCAAGAAGACTTGCAAATTATAAAAGGCATTAATTATTGGGTTTCGCCATCAGCAGACGTGCCAACGACAGTTTATGTTTTGGCAAGAAAAAGTTGTATCGGATCGGAGGTAGGTTATGATATTGCAGCTACCTACAATTTGTTACGCTACCTGGCCCGCTAGACGTTCCTTTATTAGGATGCAACGATGAAAGTCTAAGTAGCTGTCATATAAGGATCCTGACTGCTGACTGCTGCCGGTACTACTGCTGGTGCCATGTCACCACTGTGTACTACACTCCCTCTGTTCTTTTCTTTTTTATAATATGCGACGTTTGTTACCAAGAGCCATCCGCCATGAGGTCATATACAATGTAGATTTGTTTTTTATTTTATAAAAACACTCAAAAGAGTGTTTCAGATCTGATATATCTCAGGGAAAACAAATGTTAGTACAAATGATGGACAGAGAGACACAAAACGACCTCTAAAATATAAAAGTACATCAAATACCAAATTGGTCGTCTTCTTTCAGATGTCCACTGCCTGTCGGAGCTTGAAGATCGCACTGCAAAGACAATAAAGAAAAGGGCCACCTACAAACACCCTCACCAAACATGGCTTTGAAGACCGCAAAATCCACTTGCTGTTGACAACGACTAGTATCCACTGAAAGAACATCGGCCGAAGGAATCCTCCAAGAAACACAGGCTTGCAATCCTTCACCATCAAAACAAAATGTTAAAGATTCCGAACCCTGCAGTAGAACAAACCAAAAGAAAAGGTTGAGATCGCCGCATCGAAAACCAACCAACTGCTTCCTTTGATAAGCACATCAACTGACAAGATCTAAAGAAGATCAACAGATCTGACAGACCAAACTCTCACCGGTCATTCGCCGACGCCAGATTGAACGTCGTTGAGGGAGGGAGAGACCGGAGAGACCTTACTCCAAAGTACCATCATCGTCATCACCTCGTCGATGACACTAGAACCAAATGATTCGTTTTCAGTAGCTAAGTACGTAGCTAGCTAGCTTTGTGTGTAATCTGGGAAATGGTTCCCAAGATTGCTATACACTACTATAGAAAAGATTTTGTGAGGCGGTGCCAAAATATTATCCGAGATGGTCACAAAATCCAACTGTCTCGGAAAATGTTGGACGATTAACGGAGGCGGCCGTTTTAATTACCGAGGCACCAAAAACAGACCGACTCGCAAAATCGATTAACGGAGACAGTCGGTTTATTTACGGAGGCGGTTAAAAAATGCCAGCCTCCTTAAATTGATTTACGGAGACGGGCCTCCCAAAAATGCCTCCATTTTTAGAGGCGGAACTCCTAGAGGGCCCGCTTGGGAAAAAGGCCGAGGCCCAAGAGGCCCAGGCGAGGCCCGATAGTCGTGTTCCAGTATAAATATGTGAACTCAGGGTTTCGGGTTTCATTCACTCCTCCCTCTATCTCTCACCGGCTCCTCTCCCTCTGAATACGAAGGTGGCGCCCCTCCTCCCTGTCCTCAGTGGTGGCCCTCCTCCCTCCCTTCGTCCCTCAGCATGCAGGTGTTTACACTAAAATTTGGTAAGCTTATCCTGGAAAGGAAGAGATCGGATGATGATGTCAAAAGCAAGAAAGTCTTCTAATTAAGGGATATTTATGAGCCGGACATAAAATATTATTTAATATATTTGAGGGAGACATGACGTACAGGTGCATATCAGGATGCAAGAAACAAGGACACGTATCAAACAAGAAAACTTCATCAGCAAGGACTCTGCATAAGGAAAATTAGAGTCCATGTATCTATATTTCTTTTTGTTATCTAGTCATGCTCGTTTAGAAGTCTTATCAGCCTAGGGTATAAATATAAACCCCCGGCTATTGTAACAGATATCACACAACAATCAAAATCAGTCTTTAGTTTTTCGGCTTCACACCAACCCTTAGGAGTAGGAGTAATGTAGCTTTTCGGCGAGTTCTTTAACAAACAGGGCTGCATCGATTCGGTCGACCTCCAGCTTGTCTATGAGTAACGTCATGGCTTATACTTTTGTTTGTAAGGCTGCATCGGTTCGGCCAACCTCTTATGAGCTCTAGTATAAGTTAGTTATTGATCCTTATTTAGTTCAAGTATGACTGCATCGGTTAAGTTCAACCTCCACTGCTCGAATTAGATTAAGGTCAAGTTATTGGCTCAACCTAAGGGTGGCATCTTTCGGGTAGATTCATTAAGTTACCGATCTTGCTGATGTTCTTGTTGTCATTAGTTTCAGCAATATCAACCTGCCCGATCGAGATCGATCTAGATCGGCCTCACATCCTTTTAGTTCATCGTTTATTTTGTTACATTACGATAGTTCTTACTTTAAATGACGGATTATATTTTATCGGCAGTTCTACTTCGATCTTGATCGCGTATAGTACGCGGCTAAGGCATGTCTGATCTTGAGAAGGTTTACTAGCTAGTTGAATCTGGTCTATAGCTCGCTATTATGGCTGTAACAATCCGGTCGATCCCCACTGTTAGCAGTTTAAATCAGAGTATGCGAGCTGGTAGATTTGCTTTTGACCAGGCGTGACCTTGGTTGTTTGCTATGCCTCGCAGGTAGAAGAACGAACTTCCAATGCATCGAAGCTTTCTACTCCTAGGTAAAGCTGTGGCCCAAGAACCCACTACATCTAAGCCCAAGTCCAAACTAGACCCAAGAATGCTGGAATGAGAATCCTTACCCGTGAGTTCTGTCAGCTATTGCCTGTGCACTATGTTCCTGATTTCTTCCATCTGTAGTCGGAATCTTACCATTTTTCAAATGCTAGTGAACTTCACTTCTTATAATATTCAATTACCGAATGGGAACACACTTGAAACCCTTCTTTTCCTAGCATTTCAGCCCAGGCGGCTTCCCACTATATTAATAACTTCTTTTGAGCAATCGCTGATGTAGGTAGGGGCTCGTGATCTCCGTACTTGGGAGTAAGCCTTCTTTCTGGCGTTCTGTCTTTCGCGCCCATACTTTAACGCTTATAGTGTGTCTTTATGATTATGTTAAATGTGAATAGATCTGTTTCTTTTAAAGGTTTAATCTGTTATCTTTATTATGGCTGTCATCGATCCGGTTGAACCCCACTGTTAAAGATAATATGTTAGATTTGATGAGTTTATAAATCTGTTCATATTAAATAGTCGATTGTTCATATGCTATAATCCTTTTTCTATCTAAATCGGCTATTTTAGCTGATTCGTCTGTGCTTTCACACATATAGCATGTTTTTTATGAACCCGTCAATAAATAGATGGTTTTATGGATTATTTGGCTTTAGTTTGTTATCATTATCATAGCTGCATCAATCCGGTCGAACCTCACTGTTGATGGTAACAGATTAGATTCAGAGTGTTTGTAGATTCATTTGTACTAGACAGCCAATTTGTTCGTATGTTATATCCTTTCTCGTTAAACTTATCGGCTCAATGCTTTACATTAGTTATATCCATCTGCTGATGATGTTTCTTTATATTACTTATATTTAGGTGTATAGTACTTGTTCTGTCTGGATTAATCAATCATAATAAATCGCTATGAGCTATGAGTATCGGTTATTTTGAATTCCTACCATCATCATTGATATTAGTCGATAATCTTTAATTCATCGGTCCTTGCTTTACTGATATGCTGGATATCGACTATTTAGTCGATAGCCCCATTGAATCGGCTATCTAGCCACATATTAGAACTGTCTGGTGCAACACCGGCATGTTCCATCTTAAATTACTGATTATTTTCTACTTGTCAATTGCAGGGTCAAATTGACTGGCACGCCTTCGGTCCCTAAACCGACCGATCCTGTGTTTGAAGCCAAGCGGATCTCCGGGCTTACTCCAAGCAGACCTTTCCGGTTTGCTGTGTGTTGATCACATCACCATATTTTTGTGTCAACACACTTTTTGGCATGCCCAGTGGGACCACAATCCTTTGATTAGAAGTCAGATACTTATCAGCTTATGTTCCATTGACAAGGTTCGACCAAGAGGAGTGAGGAAGAACAAATACAATATTATTCTACACTTGGCCGATGACCTTCCAATAAATCAGCTTAATGGCCAATATCAAGGGCAAGTTCAGAAGGGGCACACATAGGAAAGTTTCTAGAGGTTATCACATGAGCAAGGTGTTTTGCTACATGCCCAATAATCTGAGATATCGGTCTAAGAAAAATGGAAAATTAATGCGGACAAATCGGAATCCAAGGGTGACGCGTTAGTTGCATATAATGCGAAGTCGGATACGACATGGAGATTACAAGCAGAACATATATGGATTCTTTATTAAATCAAAGCAAAAGTGGAGCAGATGCAAACAAACAAGGCTAGAAGTCGTACGTGCAAGCGTCAAACTACTCAAGGCGTCAAGCCGATGGTTGTATTGAGATTGAATTGAGCTTTCATCCGTCGGCTATTATCATTGGCTGCTCAGTCACTTCCATCGACTCAAGACACTCAGTCAGCCCTGTTATTCTGAAGCCGATGATGGATTGGGGATTAGTGTCGCTGAGTGGACCAAGACAAAAAAGATCTATCCACATAGAACAAGATCTCATCGCACCGCTGTGCAGATCGTCAAGTTTCAATTAAGAGAGTTCAATCTTGTAACCGTGTAAAGATCGAGCAAACAGTCCAGGACATTCACGAAGCTGTGCGGACACCAAGCGTAGTGCGTCTACCGATTCCAAGGAGGTAATACATCTGCTAAATACGTATAAGATACATGCTATTACCACAAGCAAACAGGATTTCTGCTTGAATTTATTAA